TCACCCAGGCACCCTGCTACCTCCCTCTTGTCCTTTCCACTCTGCTTATCTCCCAGTCATCAGTAAATGGCAAAGTCTGCTGCTAGGTCCATTATCTAGGACATTTCTGCAAACTGCTGAGGTCACAACATGAGACCTCGTACAGTTGCTCCAATGGCCCTCTCCACTGCAGGAGGCCACTTGCTCCTTCATGTACACACACACTGAAGAAACATTAACAGCAGGTTGTTGGCAAGAGTAATGCATGTAGTTTCTGAAGCTTTCTCCAGCTTCCTCTAAAGATACCTCTTATCAGCATGCATTATAACCTGCACTAAAACACAATCAGAGCAGATCAAGGTAACACAAGGCACCTTTCCTACGGAAAACCACCGCAGTCAAGTTGGGTGATACACAGCACTGTGGCACTTTTAGAGGAGGGTGACCCACAGCTCATAAAAGCAGATGCATTACTGCAATGGAAAAGCACAGCCTGATATCAATGCACCCTCAGGAAAACAAAAAACTCAACGGACAGACTCGATTCTGATCACCTGGTTTCAGATGTGTCACTTCTGCTCCCACTTTGACGACGGTCCCGGAAGCTTCGTGCCCCAACACCATGGGGTTCTTCACGACAAAATCTCCAATTCGACCATGCTGCCAGTAGTGAACGTCAGAACCACAGATCCCAACAGAATGCATCCGCAGGAGGACCTCTGCCAGAAAGGGACGAAAGGTTCCATGCAGAAAAACTTACCTTCTCTGTCACTGGAAGAGACGCAATCATTGTCTCCGTGTCCCATGACCACAGTCAAACCAGCTCTGAAATATTCAGATTTATTGCAATTAAATAAATGCACCAGAACCCTCTTTAGGGACAGATGGCACATTCACGAGACGTGCTGAAATGCAAAACTACACAAGGATTTTCATTTCAGGAAAGCTTAAAAGAGGGTGAGATCCCTGTCAATGAAAGCTAATACAAGCTAAGAGGGGCATGCTGACTCCTGGAGCAAACACAAAAGAGCAAGAACATTTAATTTCTCCTTCTGCCTAAGGTATAATTTCAGCCCTGGGGAGAGCAGTGAATCAAATTCCCATGAGCCCATACACCCAGCCTGTTACTATTTAGCCCTTTGCTAAGACCTTCTGGCCTGTCCCAATGGCAGCGTAACGTGAAATACATGAAATAGGATGCAAAAAAGCACCAGATACTCGGATACTTCTGTGACTGCTCCAGCTCTTCTTCTCAAAGGGAAACACAGCATTATCCATTTCAGCTGCAGATTCTTTTTTTAGATTATTTTATACTTTCTCAGCTGCATAGCATACATACAGTATTTGTAGTATCATGGGGTGACAAAAAAGAAGGAGAAAAGAAAACAGAGCAGCAAAGGAGGCCGGCAGAACCAGCCCTCTCCAGACCTACCATTGGGACCCGGTTCTGGGATCGGACGGTCTTCCTGTGGACAAACAGAAAAAGACAAGAGGGATTCATGTGCTTGTTGCCCAGAGATGTGGAGGATGCCCTGTTCCTGGAGACACTCAAGGTCACACAGGACAGGGCTCTGAGCAATGGATGGAGCTGTGGATGTCCCTGTTCACCTTAGGGAGTTGGACCAGATGACCGTTAAAGGTCCCTTCCAATGCCAAGGCTTTTATGATTCTATGATCATACTACAAAGAAAATATTCTTACTACAGAGCAATAACTAAATGTATAAATCACTTGTAAATGCCACTGTAAACCATGTTTGAAGTCACATCCTCTTCTCGCAATTGGCATGAACTCCTCTTTATGCTATGACTAATAAGTGCAGGCTTCTGAAAGTCATCACAGGGTGCTGGCTGTTGGCCACAGGCCATCTTTCCTCCCAAATGGTCTGCAAGCTTTCTGCCTTCACCAATCTCCCCCAGATACTCCAAAAGACAAAGGAAGAATTCTGTTGGGTCTTACAACATTGAGATGGAATGATGCAATGTTGCTCCACTGCACACTGTGCTTCCAAACATCTCTGAGGTTTGGGGTCAAGGGCACACGAATGTCCCACCTCTAAAGATCTGCCATAGATTTCTTCTCAGTGTTCAGAAAGTAAAGGGGAGAAGGTTACATTTGTTTTACTATTAACAATAAGAAATTCACCTGAAGCCCACCCCTAGAATCACACTTCTAAGGAAGTCCTCACCAAAGGTGTTTGTGCTAACCTTGCTCTCTGCTGCTCAAACGTTCATGCACCAGAGCCCTTTGCCCACAGGCCAAGATTGGGCATGAGTCCTCTGAGCAGACCTCCTGTTCCCAGAGCTCCTGTTTCAATACAGCAGCTACTAGGAAACATCTGATGGACATCAGAGACCAGTGAGCTCACAGCGGGTGTTTGTCCCTTGCAGTGCTTACCTCTGGCTGTATCTTTTTGCAAGAGTGCCTTCAGTATCTAGTTAGCAATGAAAGATCTCCAAATTCAATTTAGAAAAGGAAATTTTCTAGAAAATTCCAGCAGCAAAATGAAATTTAATGAGTGCAAAAACAGATACGGAAATCCTGAAGCTCATCTGTACACAAACCTGGTTGCAAACCCGTAGGCTGATTACAGGGGTACTGCATCACAACTGGGAGCTGGGGGACATGCAGTGGGGCGAGGCAAAGGCAGGCAGGATAGAAGTTGACCCAGGCACACATCTCCCACAGCACAGCTTTCTTAAAAGAAATACCTACCAAATAACCAGTGGCACAGTGCAATGCGAAGTGTGGTGTAAGTCCATTGACTGAAACTGTCAATGCAAGGAACTTATTTTGGGAGGGAAGCAGCTCTGTCCCACCAAGGACACAGCTCAGCTATCCCAAAGGGATCAGGCAGTCTCTAGTCAATGGCTACAGATAAAAACAAAGCCAACTTTCAGCTGAAACTGTGTAGGTGGGATTCCTCAATCCAAAGAAAAACACCTTTTTTTCTTTTTCTTTTCAGTAACAGCTGCATCAAATGACAAATGCTTTAATGGAAAACTAATCCTCCAGCTTGATTTGTTAAAAACATAATGATCCAAGACTCTACATTTCTAGACAAATGTTCTGTCCACTGCTGAAGTCCAGAGACAGCAATAGGTCTGACTGAGGCTGTGAAGCAAATGCAGCATTTTCTTCTGTGAAAGAAGATATATTAAGAGAGGAAGGATACAAAACAGTTTGCCTCAAAGTGGCAGAAAATGGGAGGCTGTTCTTACTGTACAAGATTTGAAGAAGAATTAACAAAAATATGCCAATAAATTCTCACGTAACATAGAATCTGAATTCACAGTGAGTCTTCCTACGGCAGACAGGTTCATACAGCTGTGGTTATCATGGGAATTACCTCACCTAACTTCACCCATCAATAAAGCACACAAAAGCTCAGAGTTTCCTGCTCAAACTAATGTGACCAGCGGGCACTGCAACGAGAGCACTGGGGCAAAGAAATACAGAAGCCCAACCCACCTGCAATGAACTGGCAGATCAGGGACTCAGAGCCCCGTCCAGCCTGACCTTGAGTATCTGCTGGGACAGAGCATGCACCACCTCCTGCATGGGGCAACCTGTTCCAGCACCTCACTATCCTTACTGTAAAAGACTTTCTCTTTACATCCAACCTACATCTCCTCTCTTGCAGTTTGAAACCATTTCCCCCCATCCTATCACAACAGACCCTGCCAAAGAGTCTGTCCCTTTCTTCCCGACAGCCCCTTTAGGTACTGAAGGCCGCTATCAGGTCACCTTGCAGCCTACCCTTCTCCATGCTGCACAGCCCCAGCTCTCAGCCTGTCCTCGTATGGAGGTGTTCCACCCCTTGGAGCATTTCTGTTGCTCTCCAACAGCCCCATCTCTCTCTTGTGCTGAGGACTCCCCATCTGGATGTGGCACTCAGGTGAGGTCTGACAGCACACGGCAGAGGGGCAGATCCGCTCGCCCTGCTGGCTGTGCTGCTTCAGATGCAGCCAAGACAGAGTTGGCTTCCCGGGCTGCGAGGGCACAGCGCTGCCTTCCATCCAGCTGCCATCCACCAGGACCCCCAGGTCCCTTTCGGCCTGTGGGATTAGAGACCGGCGACACGAACGGGATGAGCCGGCACCCGCTGTCCCGAGCCTCGTGCGCTTTTTCTGAACGACAGGACCCGGGAACGTGCTTCTGAACCGGAGGGAGCGGCCTGCTCCTCACCGGGGCCGTTCCCTTGGGGCGGCAGCCAGGGCTCGCGGCGATGGCCGCCCCGGGGCCGAGCTGGCGGGGAGCCGCGCAGGACGCGCCACCAGGTGAGCGCCGCTCAGCCTTCGGCGCCCCGCGGGAACGGCCTGCACCGCCGCCGCGATCGCAGCCCGGCACATCCCGCAGGTCCGACGCCCGCCCGAGATGCCGGCTCTCCCGCCGGTCCCGTTAGCGCGGACAGCCGCTTGGCGCGAGGCCGGCACGGCCGGGTTTGAAGCGCCGCTCGAAAGCCGGCACCTGCGGCGGCACGCCGACAGACGCACGTGGCCCGGCCGGCTCCTCTCCGCGCTCCGTCCCAGCCGTTAAGCGACTGGCCGGCCGCACCCGCCGCTTTCCGGGAACGCTTTTTCTGGGCGATCCCCGCCGGCGGCGCGGCTCTCCCGTCTGCCTCCCGTTCTCCCCGCTCCCCCCGGCCCGTACCAGCCGCAGGTCCCCGGCTCGGTGCACTACCACGGCCAGGTTCTGCCCCGGCGCCGCCATGGCTCGGCTCGGCTCTCGGGTCCAAGGGCCGACGGCGGAGCCTCCCCCCGCCGCGGGGCCGCCCTCTGCCCCCGACCGGCCCGGCGCCGCCCCGCTCCCCCTGGCCCCGCCGCGGCCTGGCCCAGCTCCGGGCAGCCCCGCTCCGGCCTCACGGTGCCGCGGAGTCGGGGACGGACGGCTGGGGGCTGCGGGCCCCGTCCCCGCTCGGGGCCCCGTCCTCTTTCCGGGCCCCGTCCCCGCTCTTCGCTCAGCGCGGCGTAAACGCGGCGCGGTCTCCCGCGCGGTGCGGGCAGCGGGCGGCAGGCCTGGGGCCTTGCGGCCACACGGCGTCTGCGCGCCGTTTCCCCGCGGGGCGATGGGCTGCGGGGAGAAGCTCGAGATTTCAGGCCCTGGAGGAGGCGGGGAGCGTTCTGTGTGAGATCCTTTGCAGGCTGCGATCTCCAGATCGTTCACCCCGGTGTTCCTCGAGCAGCCCGAAGGTGAGCGTTTTCAAACTTGGGCTGCATTTAAAAACTCTGCCTTTGAAAAACAAAACAAACCACTCGGGATATGTTGTGCAGCGGTGCCAGAACCGTTTAAAAATAGCCTCAACTCAAGCTCATGTTGTTACTTCTTCCTGCTGCATTTGTTTGCTTGCATGAATGGCAGTACCTCTGAACTTGCTTTCCTTTTTTTTTACCTTGCAGGCAAGCGAGGGCTGACACGTTCCCGCATCGGGGCCAGCTGTATCTCTTGTTCCCAGTGATGTTTGTCGGAGGCAGGGTGGAATTAGTGGAGTTGACCTGTGGTTACAAGGGCAGGGGAAGGAGCATGTGCAAGGGAAGCTGTGACAGGACGCGTTACTCAGTGTTTATACAGCACTACACCTCCCTTGACGAAGCCCCAGTGTTTACACTTCCGCAAACTGCAGAAACACAGCGAGTGGCTGGCTCCTCCTAAATGTGCCTGTTTGCTGGAGGCACCTGCTTGTGGCTCCTTTTTGGGGCATGTTGCAACCAGCCTTCAAGCTATGCTCCAGGGCAGGCCGTGGTGTGTTCAAGAAATGTTTAGATGTTGTACTGAGGGACGTGGGTTAGTGGGGAAATATGGGTGGTAGGTGGACAGCTGGCCTGGATGATCTTGGAGGTATTTTCCAACTTTGGAGATTCTGTGATTCTACCCACTGATTTTCAAGGAAAACCCTGAGTAAGCAGAGTTGCCCAGAATTAAGCACGTCTGGGGATGCTAATGATTCCCATGCAGCCTAAGCTGTGCTTTGAATAACCCAGCAGACTGAAAGTTTGTTCTTTTCTTCCAGCAGGAACTGGTGGTGCTGGCTCTTCTCAAGGTGCAGCAATGCCCTTTGCTAGCACAGCCACGTGGCTGGACAGCTTCTGCTCCCTGCCCCATTGCAGGATGCGAAGGAAGGCAGTTCCTTGGCAGCACTGGTGCAGACAAACAGCTTTTTGTTGAGGCAGAACCGGTCCCTTCAGCTCTTCCACCCCTCCCTGCCATGGCTGTCAGCATTCCAGCTTCAATTTCCTCTCCTCTTTTCAGCTTTTCTTCTTATTCCACTTCATGTTTTCCATCTGTATTTTCCCTGACAGTACTTGATGTCCAGTGTGGGTCTAATCCTTAAATATCACAAGGTCTTGGCCAGCTGCTATGAAGTTCCTCTGAGATCCTGGTTTAAAAGAAGCTTTGAAGCTCATGTCGTGGTCTGTTTCTCGTTGTTTGCCTTTCAGTGCTACCTGGCAAACTCTTTTGACCACCAGCCAAAGAAAGCTCCAAATAAAAACTGCTGAGGACTTGGTTGTTTCTTTTTTTGTTTCTTTTTTTTTTTTTTGAAAGCTCGTAGGCATCGATGACTTCTGACCACAAAAGGTATGCATATTTCCCTCAAGCATGGCAGTAGCAGTACTATGAAGATCATGTCATAATCGTCAGTTTATAGTGCAAAACAGTCTGTATTGCCAGAGCAGCTTCACATCAGCTCAACAAAAATGTGTTTACCTAAAAAGTCGATGATCAGGGTTGTTGTTCCCTTAGTAGATGAGAGGATAGGTGCCTTGCTGACACGACCGTAAGTCAGTTTACTTCCATCAGGCAAACTCAGCATGCGTTTTTCTTCTTTGCAAGTTCTGAAACACCCCTCTGGACCATTTCAACTCAAGCAGGTTTTACACTCAATGCAGTTTCTTTCATTTCCCTTATTATTTACCCCAGAAGAGGTCTCCGTGTTTCCCTGGGAACTGCAGTCATGCTCAACAGGATTTCTCTGAAGCTTCCTACACATTTCAGCCTAACAATTCTATTTCTGTCTAACCAGAGCAGAAAATGCTAAAACACTTGTTCAGATCCACCAGTATCTTTGACAGCATTTCAAAAAAGAAGTCTTTTAAAAAAGCGTGAAAATACTTGTCCTCCATCCTGGAGAAAGGGATTTCCGTGACAACATCTCAGCCATAAGGTCATAATCAAGACCTTGGGTAGTTTTATCTCACTGCTTCAAGGCTCTGGGAGACTTTGTGGTTGCAGGTTATCAGGTTTTGCATCATTCTGTTCTGAGTCAGGACATTCGTCTGTCCCTGTGCCTACGTGCCACCACTCACTCTGCCTTCTCCATCAATTCCATAATTCAGTTAATAAGAAATCTCCTAAACTGGTGGCTGTTTGCATAGCTTACACTTACGGTTTCTTCAGAATCAATCCTCAGCTGCTCACTTCCTTGGTCATGCTTAAAGAGTATCACACTTTGGGTCCTCCCATCAATTTGTATTTTATTTAATTTTCCCCACAACAGTGATGCTTAGCTAATCATTCACAGTCCGCTTGTGATAAAGTCATCCGAAGATCTTTTATCTGCGTGGAGGCACGCACTTCCTCCTGTCCAGGGAGGGGTGCCTGTTCCTTTTGTGTTGCTCACTGCGGCTATCCTGTCCCTTATTTCCATGTTTGGTCTGAGAAATACAGAGCTTACCACCAACCTCTGTTGGCAGTGACTTTTGTCCAGCTGGGTGTTTGTCCACCCTTTTTGTGCCATTGCCTGGAGTACTCCATGCCTGTAGTACGCAGTAGTGTGAGTGACTCAGGGACCAAACTGCCCAGAAGTCGCTCAAGGTAATTTGGTGACATGTAAGGGTGCAAGGCAGGGCTGCTACCCAGAGAAGCTCTGCTTTACTCCACAGCTAGCTCCCGCGTCATGTAAGCAGAAACAGCTCTCTTCACGCAGATTTCCTGAGTTGTTGGGTGGTGGCAAATCTGTCTACATTTACGTCAGTGCCTGGTGCTTGAAGCACTGGCTCAGGTACATGTAAGTAAGGGTTTAAACCCCAAGCTCTGCTCTCAGTGCCTTGGAATAACAAAATGTTCTTGGGGCATCTGCAGTTACGAGACAGCTTTCCAAACAGCGTGATCTGTTCGCTAGTGCATTTCAAAGACTCTTGCACCGCTTCTTTCCTTGCCCTGACGTTGTCACATCAATCCCATGCAACAACATGGGTAGGTATGTGACCCACTGCTCCCATCTCCTTTCTGAAGTACAGTTTTACTGACTTCACAGTCATTTTTTTCACACAGGAAAATGCCAAATCTCCTCTAGCCGTTGACCCCCCACCTCGATACCATGTGTGGGAGCTAAGGGTGGGAGCCTTGTTCAGAATGTGACTCTAGGGCTGCAAGTCTCTTAATCCAGAAGAGTCACCTGGATTACTTGGTAATGTTTAATCCATGGTCCCTCACATGCTGCGGCCACACAATCCCCTACTGAAATTCCTGCATGAATTCAATTCTGATATTAACCCTGCAAAGTTGAGCAGTCAAGTTGTTCGTGCCCTCTGAACCCAGTGGCCTCTGCCCAGATCCTCCTCTGCAATGCATCAGAGTAACAACTTTCTGAGTCTTGTTCACTGAATTAAGAAGAAGTGGGGCAAAGGAGTGCCAGCATCAAAAGTTAGCATCATACATTGACTGACTGACAGATGTAACCTAGAGGGGCCAACCGTGGTTCTTCTGTCCAGCTCCTGCCTAAGTCAGGGTTAACTGGAGTTAACCTCATCATGTGATCAAAGCCTTATCCAGTCTGGTCGGTGATGTCCTCGTGGCTGACGATCCCTTAACATATCTTTGTGCCTGTCCCATGGCTACACTGAGCATGGAGACTTCATTCCTCAAGTCCAACTGGTGTGTCTCTAGTGCAGTTTGAGCAAATAATTGCTTGTTGTTTTCTATGGGCACCTCTGAGATGAGAAGAGTCTGGTTCTATCTTCTCTATATTCAGTCTCTACTGAAGGCAGCAATAACATTCCCCAGAAACCTTCTCTTTTCCAGGTGAAACAAGCCCAGCTGCTTCAGCATGTCTTCATATGCCAAGTTCTCTAGCCTTAACCATGTTCGTGACCCTCTGCTGAACTTTGCAGTTGAGCAGCCTGTCCATTGTCCTCTGGAAGGATTTACTCCAAGTCCTGCTTCCGTGAGCACAGCCAAAACCAAGCAGTCAATGACATTCCTTCCCTTCTCTTGTGCATCTCTTTCTTTGTGTACCACCCTGAAGCTACGTGTCTCTGTAAGCATTATTACCGTGCACCTTTCCTCAGTATCTTCTACTTCTTTTCTTATACCATTGACACCCGGATGGTTTGAGACTCACCACGTGGTACTTGGAGGTACCCATAGAGAAACAGCTTGGCACAGGCTTGGAGGTACAGTCAACGGCCTACGTTTTGGGCTGTTTGTGTCATCATCTTTTTTGCCTAAGAAGGGACTTGTGATGGTGGAAGGATGCAGAAGCTGCCTGTGTGCTTTTCAGAGCTTTTCCCATCCTCATGGCACAACCTTTCTGAAATCATCATTAAGTCTTCATAGGCAGCTGGGTATGATCCATGCAGGAGAGTTGAGGCTGGTTTTAGGGTGAGTGCTTTCATTTCTGGAGGACTGGCTGGTGGAGCAGACAGCTCCAAGCAAGTGGAGCAGAGGTACGGGACATGAGACCACCAAAGAAGCATGGCTTGATGAGAGATGCGGAGTGGTACTCAGAGAGGGAGTAGCTACAAGGAGGCTTTGAAGACAAGGAGCAAACCCTGTGCTGAAGATAGTAAGTGGATAATGCATAAGGAAGTTGGGGATCCAGACTACACAAAAAGTCACGATATTTGTCGTCAGGGATCAGTGCTTCAAGATAGGCTGTGTGTGAGAGCAGATTTTGCATGTTGTATCTTCCTCATTCTGGGCCATTCATCACAGCGTCTCCCTGCAAGAACCTGGCCTTAGCACCAGTGGCCCCGGGCTGGGGACAGTTGTTTGCTTTGGTTTGTAGTCACATCTAATCTATGCCTTCCCCATTCATGGTGAAGTCTGATACTGTTACAAAGAAAATCTGTTTAAAAAGAAAATCACATATTTAAACACATCTCATATAACAAAGTTCTGTGGAATTAGTTGCAAACCACATAGTTGAGGGAACAGAGGGAAATAAAAACACCAAGCGCATCACGGAAGCTAGTACCAGTTTATTGCCCTGCCTCTCAAGATTTGTCTGGGAAGTTTTTTTTAATGTGTTGACATCACATCTTCTTAAACAAAGTGACCTACGTGCAATAAATTCATCCACCCAGGGCTAGAAATTAATTCTGGATCTCACAGGAGACTGAATAACTTCCTCTTCTCAAGAGGTGAAGCTCTTCTTTCTAATCTGTCACTGAGACCCATGTTCTGAGACCAGTATGAACAGGACAGTAAGTATTGGCCCTAGTGGAACACCCGTATTTTGGCCATGTGGGCAAAATAGGTTGAGATATCAACAAAACAAATTCAGAGTATACTTGGGTGAATGTCTAGCAAAACGATGATAAGGAAAGAAATAAGCTCTGCAGTGTGAGCAGATGAGATGAATCTAAGTGGCCTGTGCAGTGAACATCCCCAGGAGCAGGAAGCTGGATATGCTGCCCAGCGTTGGGTCTGAGCACCTGCCAACCAATGGAAGTGGCATATGAATTCCTTTGCTTGCACAACATGGCTTTGATTCATCTGGTAAACTGTCTTTAACTCAACCTGTGAGTTCTGGCACTTCTACCTCTTCATCCCACATCCAGGCAGCACGACAACTCCCTTTTCAGCGGTGTCCCAGGAAACGTGGAGAGCCCAGCAGCGAAGTAAGGTTGCCAGGGAGGTTTTCCAACCCGTTAATTTCAGGTGTTAATTTCAGGAGAAAGACATTCTTGTGGTTCTCTGCTCTTCTCCCAGGGAGGAAAAAGATTAACCAAATGCTACAGGAACTGTTAGGGTGGACTGCAATGATAGTAACCTATGCTCCAGTCAGAGGCTACACATTACTTTCATGAAAGGTATGTAGGACTTGCATATTCACCTGGATACCATGAGAATCTGGCATGATCTGGAGCATCATTTTTGGGCCAAACAACTGAAAGTTGGGTGTGGCTGGAAGAACAAGTTCATGGTCCGTGTGCAAATACCATTTCTCAGGAGTGCAATGGAAAAAGCAGCTTCTGGAGGAGGAGGCTGAGCATAGGAAAACCAGCTTGAGTTGAGCAGGGAAGGAAAAGCCAGGCATGCGAGGACGTTAAAGGTCCCCAGTGCAGAGAGCCAGAGAGGATATGGGACTGCAAGCAGGAATACAAGGTAGTCCTTCTGCACACATCTGAAAGCAAGTGAGACTCTAACTGATGAACGCTCAGCTTTTTGCAGTGTGTGGGCTACCAAATTCCTCCCATAGGTTATGACTCCTCTGCTGCTGCATAGCTGAGCTCCTACACGAGCAGGGTGACGCATCCTTCTCCCAACCTTGCCCTGG